GACAAAAGGCTCAATCTGTAAGGCATGGTATTCTGGGGGCCTCTAAGACCTGCCCTGATCTCTGCCCACTGTAGCTCAGTCTAGAAGGGGCCACATGCATAGTAGGAGGTGAACAGAGACACAAATATTCTGAGTGAGGCACAAGCAGGGGTGGAGGAGGACATGGAACAGACCAGGGCTTCCCTTCTGAGCTCTGCATCATGGACAAAGGTTGGAAATGCAGAGATGGGAGGGAAGGACTGCCAGGTATACAGAATAGGGACAAATCTACGAGGGTGGAAAGACCAGGGCTTGTGTCAAACCCAGTGTTTCAGAGAAGCTGGAGGCAGAGTCTGTGAAGGGAGGAGGGATAAGAAGCTGGTAAGGAAGAATGAGACCAGGCCATGCAAGGCTGAGAACTTGTATTTTATTTAATAAGCAGTGAAGAACCATTCAACATTGTCTTGCTTACCCTTGAAAACAACACATCTCAATTATTTAATATCCCCTACGAAACAGGTAATTGGGTCCTAGCTATAAAGCAGAGGGTTTTCATTACAATTGTGGTAGTCCATTTTGAGAGCTGGGGATAGGATTTGGTGTGCTGTCTTCTGAGGCTGGAGACAAGTTCTGGTCTCACCCTAGTGAGAGAAGCTGCTGTTCTAAGCTCCCATGCCTGCCTGCCCTCTTGCGCTCTGCACAGTCTTTCTCCCTCACCCTTTCCTTCCCAGTGATTTTGGCCAAACAATGTTCACACCCAGAACGTCCTTTCACTCTCATTCACTACCTTTGCTCTCATTATCTTCAAAATGCTTGGAACACTGGAGATGCTGCAGAGGGTATCAGCCAGTGATGCACTGTCCATGGACATGGTCTTCTTTATTCATCAAAGGCATTCAGGAACAGGGACATTTATAAATTTCTGATGCCACATAAAATACATGAATATTGAGTTGTTAAGGCTGTGTGTGGAATACTCTATTCTGTCCAGATTTAGTCTTGCTCACTGAGGAAGCTGTGCAGTCCACCCAGGGATGAGTTGATATGGGGTCGTGGGAGTGGTGTCTGGAAGTTCTGACACATATGGTAGCTGGGGCACTTCAGTCACGTCCTTCCAGCCTCCCTGATCCCCACCAACCCAGAGAGAAAAGTGACTCCTGTGCTTTCCCAGACAGGGGAAGCCAATGTGGCTGGATGCTGGAGAGGTAAACTGGGGTCATGGTAAGGTGACACTGGTCTCAGCCAGGGGCCATCTTCTTTACAGCATTGCTGGTGGCCACCCTCTTTGAATGTTGGGACTGCTGGTGGCTGTGTTGTATGAAGGACAGCCAGGGCCTGGGGCTCCTAGATCTCCTGTGTAAGTACCTGGGGTGAGGGAGGAGGCCACAGCTGTCCCAGCAGAGGTGCATGGCAAAGCTGGGAAATTTAGCGAACAGACAACCCTTGTATCCCAGCCAATGAACAGAGTGTGGGCCATGGTGCTCAGGGACCAAGACAGAATGCTGCTGCCTCTTGGAGGCCACCCAGGCAGGAGAGCCAAGCAGCTGAGCCTGGGGTGCTGGGGTGGGTATCCTAAGAGCAAGACCAGCTTTGCCTTTGGAGTCCCCCTTCCAACCCATTCACTGGGATCTGCCTGCCCTTGGGCTGCTGGAGAAATAGCTCTTCTTCCCTGGCTAACTCTCCCATACCCAAGAAGAGCCTGAGAGAGAAGACAAGGTGGCCCAGGTATATCATGCACCATGTGTACAGCCTGTGGGCTGGGAGGGAGGGTGATAGAGCAGTTCCAGGTGTGGCAACTGAAGATTTCTCTGATGAAACTTGGTGTTGTGGGCTGCGAAGTCCCCAGGGCCTCCTGGAGCAGTTTAGTTTAGCACAGACCGCGAGAATAGCCATAACTCTTTCCCATAACTCTTTCCAGAGCTGTGGCCTCAGAAGCTTCTGTCACCACTCTTCTTGACTCAGGTCTTGCCCAAACTTCTGTCCTGCCCTAGGCAAGGCTGGTCCAGGCTCCACTCCTCAGTTCATGCCTATTTCTGATTCCGTTGTTGCTAAAAGAACACTAGTCACCCCTCATCCTCATGCTGTCCTGCCCTCCTCCGCCCCGGTCAGCCCTGCTGCCTACAAATCCTGAAAACAGGCAGCTTTCTCCCTGGCTACGATCATCGGGAGACCCTCTGGAGCTGGGGGAATCAGTTCTCATGCCCGGGAAAATGAACCAAAAGGTAAGTGCCAGCCAACCCCAGTTAAAGCCCAGTCCAAGGTCTGGGCCAGGAAAAGCAGGAATGCCTTGGAGCAGGGAGTAGGCCTGGAACTTCCAGAAATCTCTGCCCGGTTCTCACCATGGTTTGCCTTCAGTAATACACAGAACAAACTCACAACTGGCCCATCTTGCATGTGGGTACTGGTTCTGGGATTTGGGGCCCTTGTGTCACTCTAAAATGGGATGTCCTTCCAGCTATTCCTGTGGGGGATCTCTGAGAAAGAGCAGACCAAGGCCTCTTTCCCCTCTGACCCTCTGACAACCTCATCCCAGGGCTGAGTCAGGAGTTACGCCATTGACTGAGGCACAGCCCAAGGTGACCAGAGACCTTCCCAGTTCAGGGTCCTTGTCTGAATCCAGGGAGTGGTGAAGCCTGAATCAACTGGGCCCATTCAGACATGTCCCGGTCCAGCAAGGCACACTCTAGACATTGCATTCAAACAATAATCATGACCAAATGCCTCCAGCCTCATCAGCTTTTATGGTGCATTTCCCAAAACCTCTTCCAGCTCTACCGTTCCATTTATCCTTACCTGCTCTGAAAGCTGGGCAGGAAAAGCATCATCTCATTCTCCCTCCTTTTTTTTGGATGGAGAAACTGAGGCTCAGAGAGCTTAAGTAGCTTGTCCAAGGCAGAACAGGGCCTCAGCTGCATCCTGATGGGAGTGTGTCGTTCTTAGGGCCTGCTTGACCATATAAAGGGAGAAAGGAGGCAAGAGCAAATCATTTTCATATTGGGAACAGCAGGCCCAGCCATGGGAACCATTGTTACTCCACAGTAAACCTCTGAGCCTCCCCCATGGTCAGAACACTACCAGCTGACTGTGTAGACTGAAGGAGCCTACCGAGCCACATGCTACCCCCTACCCGCACATGAATCACAAGGCAGCTTCAGGACCTCTGAGCCTGGGCTTCTGTGCACACCCTTTCCTCACGCTGACAAGTGCAGCATGGTTTGTGCACATGCAGTCCTCCCTGTACAGTCCGGCAGGAGAGGAAGGTGATCCCCTGACCAAGAGAGACAGCTACCAGTGCAGGAGGCCACAGAGTCCCTGCCAACACCCCCAGAATGCCCTTCACTTCAAACTCTGCTCATCCACAATCAAGGTGGGTATCAAGGGTGTCCCTGACTTCTCCGTTGCCATCTCTACAGGGCAGCCCGAGAGAACCGGTTCTTGGAAATTTTCTACCTCTGCCGATCACAATGGGCCAAGGAGTGACTGCAGCAGGTGAGCCTTCAGCTGTTCCTTCCCAATGGCTACAAAGGGACATGCCAAGAAGCAAATAGCCCCTGTGTTTTGGTCAGCCCAGACTGCCATAAGAAAATACCATAGATGGGGGGCGTCAACAACAGACCTTTATTTTTCACAGTTCTGGAGGATGAAAGTCCAAAAAGAAGGCTCCAGAGAGGTAGGTTTTATTCTGATACCTCTTCTCTCAGCTTGTAAGTAGCCACCATCTTGTTCTGGGCTGACATGACCTCTTCTTTGTGCACACAAGGTGAGAGAGGGAGCAGGCTCTTTGTGTCTCTTCTTATAGGGGCATTAATTCCACTGTGGGAGGCCCACCCTTATGACCTCATCTGAAGCTGAGCACTTGCCAAGCGCCCTACCTTCAAATATGATCACATTGTTGGGTAGTGTTTCCATACATGAATTGGAGAGGGACACATTCACTCTAGACCACCCTGGTAGAGATCAGATTTCCTGAAGAATGCCGAAATCTTCCTGTAGGTGTGAGGCCTCATGTGCCCCCTTTAACTTGTCCCTAGAGACTGGGAGCTTCCTTTCACTTATTCAAAATAAGTAAGTAAAAAGTAAGTAAGTAATAAGTAAGTAATAAGATAATGACTCATTATCTTAAAACAGACATTAAAGGCTCGGGATGACTTCTGATAAGGTTATTCAAGTGCTTCCTGCTCCCCTCCTCTTGGCCCCTGTGCAGACAGTTGGAAAGATGCTCTACTTGGTATCTAGCCAGAGAACAAATCACTTTCCCTCCAGGGAGCACCCCCCTGGAGGAAAAGCTACAGGCAGGAGAGAAGGAACATGCATGCAGTGCATCCAGGCTCACCTCAGGGGTGACACATGAGGCAGAGCATGGTCTCCACAGAGTGGGTAGCCTAGTCTAGGCCCACTGGTTTGGGCCCAGTAAGCTTGTGGCTGCCCTCAGCATCAATAAAAGAGCCAGCAAGCTTCAGCCACACAGAGGGCCTGGACACATGGCTACTCAGGGTGGCAGAAGCCATCGGTCTCTGCAAATGTGGCAGGGAGCAGAGGTGCCCATGAGGGGCTCAAGTCCAGGAAATGAGCCCTTTACTCAGGACCACAGTACCAGTCAACTAGGTCAGTACAATTTCTAGGTTCCAAAAGACCAATCATAAGTTCACAGAGAGTTGCAAAGAAAGATATTTATTAAGCACTGGAGCTGTGATTATTTTAGTACAAAGCACCTGTGTTCATCTGATTTCAGCTTCCCACCATTGGAATGCTGTTACCTGTGATTTCCCCAACATGACTGTGGCTTAAGACAAAACAGCTTCTTACTAGATTATAAACCATGCTGGAAAACGTTTCTTGGCAGAAAACAAAAACAAGAACAAAAAACGGTATTCGAACTTGAGTAGACTCTGCAGCCTGCTCGCCCATGGTAGAACAGGTGTGTGCAAGGCCAGGCAGGAAGGTGAGGGACAGCAGTCTCCTGCTGGGGCCTGGCTGCTGTCACACATCAGCACACTGGAGAACACAGGCTGCCTCTGCAATATACCTTCCAAGAAATGGGTTGTGCTCAACAATCCCAAACAGAACTTATCAGGAAAGAAAAGAAAATATCCACCCCCCCTCCCCAACCCCTATTCCAGGGGACTCTGTGAGCCTTGGAGGTCCCCTGGCCATGCAGGCCTCATTGGCCTGTCTGTCCCTCTTCTCTCAAGTTTCGGTATGAAAGTACTGCTGGTGCTGGTTTTCGTCTGAGCTAGACCGCTCGGCAGACATAAAATAGCTGATATGGCCTGGTGAGTATTCTTCAGGGTCCTGGAAAGCCTCGGGATTTGCCTGAGGAGCTGACACCTGCCAAGAAAAAGGTGGATGAGGTGAAATTTTCCCTCTAGTCCAAGTCAGCAAGCTGCTGAGAAGTAGGTCTTTGGAACACAGACGTACAAGGCGCTGGCAGAAGGTGCAGATGGGGACAATGGGGCTCCTCTCCACTTTTGTCTTTCAACAACATCTTGTCTTAAAGACCAGCAAGAGTTGCCCTTGTCTCCCCCAAAGTTTTCTTCATGCCTAAGACTACGAGGTTCTGTGTCTGGCCCTCCCTAGCCGGGCTTCTCTGCCAGCCATGGCTAGCCAAAGGCTTGGAAGCTCTCTCCCTGGCCCTACTCTTGGACCCTGCTATTACTCTGCTCAACCTAAGTAACTTCCATGCTGAGCCTGACTGCCAGCTAAGGTTGTTGGGAGAATGCAGTAATACCAGCGTGGGTTGTTGTTACCTTTCCCATCACATTGCATTCTCCCAACAACCTTCCAGGCATCCTCCCTTTTCCACTTCCTTGGGATAGCTGCTCTGCTCCTAAGGGCCCATCCAGATGGTAGTGCCCTGAGAGCAGACATGATGAAGGGTTTCACCAGAGTCTGCCTTGGGAATTGAACTACAGGGTCCACTGAACATCTATGAGCTCTTTTCATGTGAGCAGTGCCTCCTGTGGGTCAACTTTCTGGAGGACTGGTAGCCCAGCTGGTCAAGGTGTATATGTGAAAATAACCACACATTTAGCCATTTAAAATTCCAAACTCACTCATTCTGCCTTAACTTACTGGGTTCTTTTTGCCTTGTTGCTGTCATTAGTTTTAAAAAATCAGAGGTTAGTCTCCATTAAGATTTCTGAAGGCAGAATCAAAACACCCTTTATAAGTACTGTTAGTCAGATTGAGCGTGTTTGGTTCCAAGGGGCCTGCTGAGAGTCTTTCTGGGACCAAACCCAGTAAATGACTTCCATCTGGATCAGCTGCCAACACTGCCCTGGAAATATGACCGTAGCAGATGGTCCCTGAGGTGGGGGTCTTTCCTGGCAAGTATGGAGCTCCCTGTGGATAAACACCAAGCACATTGCACAGAAAGACCCTTGGTTCATTTTTTAGTACAATGAACCACACCCACACTAGGCCCGGGATTTTGCGGTAGAATGAATGATCCACAGGTTCAGAAAGGGATCGGGGCTTGGGCAACAAGCTCAGGATATGGCATGACTCACTTTATCCAGCTAACATGCTTGAGAAGTTTTTACCTCTGATCCTATTTAATATCCATCCATGAGGACAGCTCACTTTTTCATGGAAACTTGAAGAGAATCAATTTATTCAGCAGTGTGTGCCGCTGCCATGTGAGTAACCGCTCTCGAATTTACTGAGCTCTGAAGTCTGGATTTCACACCCAGAGCATACCGCTGTGGTGTGTGCTTTTTGGGGAAGGGGCCCAGCCTCCATGCCGAATGCCCTGACCTAGGCTGGGAAGCATAGGGGAAAGGAAAGGTTTATACCTGGGGCCAGGTAGCTTGGTCCTGCAGGCTGTTGTGCTCACTGGAAGGCCAAGTATTCACTTGGAGGTAAAGGTGATGCTGTGAATCTGGTGGCTGTTGCCAAAGCTGGATATAATCCTGTGGGGTCTCCAGGGTTACTAAACTGGAGTCAGAATGTATGGGAGACTGAGGAAAGCTGGTAGAAGCGACTGTGTCAGAGCCCGGGCTATATACCATGGACACCTTCTGCTGCTCCTCAGGAAAAAAACTGAAAAAAACATGTTATAGTGACATGGGTCTGGGACCCATGACCCAGGAGCCATTGGCTTGCTCTTTCTTAGGTGTTTATGGCACAACTGGTTTTGGTGGCTAAATCAGGATTCACTGGTTTGTATCCTCACCTTGCCCTAAGAAGATTCCATTTGCCAAAGTCAGGTCAATGTAAAGACTGAGGTGAATTAGTCTTTTGGCTCCAGTGGTTTTATTTGTATTACTTGGACAGTCCTGAATCTTCCACAGTGGTGATCTCTGTGACCTTGGACCTGTCACTTTACCCATCCAAAGTCAGGGACATGCCCTTTGTTGCTGTTTGGGGCTACCCGGCTAGTTCCTTCCTGCAAATCCAGTGCTATCTCTACAAGAGCCCCATTTATCTTGGGTAAATAGGGACTTCTGAATCTGTACTTCCTACAGCCTCCTCAAGTGGATTCTGATGAACAGGCCTGTGGGAAACACGGCACTAACCCACCCACCAGACATATCAGGGTCACTGATTCTACAGGGGAGGCCCAGAAGGAAATCTGGAGAGCTCTGGGAACCCTGCTCAGAGAGCTGGCATTCGCTCAAAAATATTTACTAGGCACCAAGCATGTGCTCTACAACCCCTTCACTGCTGAGCAGAGCCTTCTCTTTCTGGCATTTGGGACCACAGACTTATTACTGAGCAGAAAATGTGTTCATGTCCTCATACGGCCTTCGAGAACTTAGCTCTTCTGGGAGCTTAGCTCCTTGGTATCCAACGGACATGTAGCAACTGTTTCACACCCACTTCCCTCACATAGGTTGTCAGTTCTGTGGAGACCCCTTCTTCTGGTCTGCTGTGACCACCAGATTACAGTGGAGTGGGAGAAGAAAGCTGGGAGCCATGGAGTCACTCAGCTATGGGCACATAAGACTTTGCTCTAGACATCCTGTGCTGTAAGACTGGGCTTGGGTGGGTGGAGCCAAGCGATTTCAAGATCTGCCAGTTCCCTAGCTTGGGAGCTTCCATATCTAGGCCTCCTATTTTCACAGTCTCCTCCGTTCCACCAGCACATGCTTGGCAACGCACTGTGCATGCAGAGGCGGGGGTCTGGAAGCCACAGAGCTAGGTGAGTGGGAGCACACTGGTTTTGATGAGGGGGGTTGGGTGCCCTGTGGGTAAGTCACTCATGGTCTCAGGCACAGTGTCTGGCCATGAGGGGAAAGCAGGGACTTCTGTACTTATCACTGTTCCATGTACTTCTTACCTAGGGCTGTCATCTTCTTCGTCCCCCAGGGTATCACCTTGATAGCAGCCAGAGGGCTGTTGTCCAGCTGCTAACTGGACAGGAACAATGGTCTGGGTGTGCATGAACGTCATGGGGTCCTCACAGAGGGGCACAGCTACGCCGGCCTGGCCTGGCAGGTATATCTGCAGCTTCTGCCTTCCCACCACAGTGCTCGGCGGCTGGGGTTGCTCCTGCACCTGCTGCTCCGACAGAAGCTGGTCCTGTGTCTGCTGCAATGGCTGCTGCAGGAATGGGTCCTGCCCCTCCAGCAGTGGCTTCAGGAGAGATGAAAGGACCTTAGTGCCCGCAAGAGTCTCCCAGAAGCCGACAGAACAGCCCTCCTCCATTCTCCTAGAGCAGATGACAGCAGCCCTGCGCCTGCGGGTGTGGTCAGGGTGATGTTTATGTGTTGATCCGGGCACAAGGTGCTGCCATCCAGGATACACATACGTGTGCCTGGGAATGAGTGTCTGGGTCTAGCTCGCCAAGAATTTTTATCTCAAGCAAGTGAACCGCAGCCAACTGATTAGGCACCAACCCCTCAGGAGAACCAGGTGAGCCCCGGTGTTTATGACAATAAAATCTCCTTTCAGCTCCCCAGTTGAAACAGGCTTTCCATACCTGGTTGGAGTCATCACAAGTCTCCTCCAGCTCCTCTGAGAATTTGAAAGAGCAGGGTGAACATGAACCACAGGAAAGGCTGATCTCGTTGAGGTCTGGGAGGGACTCCTTCATTTGCTCAGTGCGTTGTTTCTTGGGCACTGGCTCCAAAGACTGGAACTCAGGATGGTCAAGGTGGTGTGAGATGGTTGGCTGCATCTGGAAGGACACAGTATCATGGAGGTCTTATTCAGAGGCCGCACCTTTCCTCAGGGAACAGGACATGCCTGGGACAGAGTGGGACAGGCCCCCTGGGAAGCCTTGGCTATATAGGAGCTGTGTCTGTCACTGCCAGAGCCTGGCTGGGCCGATTTCAGCCATTACAGCCAAGAGACCAAGAGGACAGGCAAAAGTCCCTGCTGAAGACCACTCCAAATGCCCCATTGCTGTCCTGAAGCAGCTGCTCTCCCTCCTAGCAGACCCCAGTGACTGACTGCTTGACAACTGTCAAGGTCTCTTTTTTCCTCTCCCTTCTGCCACTTACTTACTTGGAACTGGCCTCTGACCTGAAAGGTGGAATCCTGTATTCTCTGAAGCTGTTCCTTCATCATTTCCAGTGCATCCCGCTGGCTTCGGATGTCAGCCTGCAGCATCCGTGTCTGCTCTTCCAGCTGCTCCCTGAACTTTTTCATCAGCTCCAGCTCCCGCTTGTTGATGTATGACATAATTGATGGCGGTGGTTGTATTGACTGTGGGGAGGAATTGCTTGTGGCTCACAGATCGGGACACCGGGGTCCCCAAATCCTACCAGACTGTTTTATTGCCAAGTCTGCAAAGACTGAGAATGAGAATGATTCCTGCACTCCCAATTTCCTTCATGACTAGAAAGTCTGAAGAAATGGCTAGAGAATCCAAGAATTCAAGATCAGAAATGGATCGTGGGAATCATGCACTCTGATTTTTTTCCTCAAAATATAAAACCATGGAACTGGCCCCAAAGTGTGAAGCAGCCACCTGCCCAATATCCTTAGTGGGAGAGTCAGAGCTCAGTGGGTCATCATATCACAGACAAGGCACGTGGGAAACGTCTATCAGATACCCCCATTTGCAATGGGGTGAGAAGAAGTTCAAATGGCACTTCCTTTGTTCCAGGCACTCTTCTCTAAGCACTTGCAAAGAAATTCATGGATCTGACCTTCACAACGTCCTAGAAAGTACATACCTTCCATACACAGTTACAGTAGAGAAAACAGGGGCCTGAAACAGACCAGAGGCAGGAGACATGGAAAGGAAGGGACACATTTGAAAGAAATTTAGTGGACACGCTTCTTAAGTGACTGGCTGAGGGTGGAAGGAAGAGGCAGGGCTCTTGAGAAAGAAGAGACCTTCCGTGGAAGCTATTATTTGCCTTGATCTGGGTTGGCACTGTGTGCATAAACAAGATGAGAGAGCCACAGTCCCGATATTAATGATGAGAAGACGCATATACATGCAACTGCTAGAGAACAAAAACAAGAGTCTATTCTATCGTATACTGTGGCTAATGGAAGAGCACAGCTGAGTCATTAAAAAGAGACAGAGCAAAAAACATGCAAGCTGTTTTTTTCCCTTGTAATAAAAAATTCTGTGAATTTTTAAGCCAGTGAAAATTGCCCAATTGTCCTTCTTTTGTTGTAAACTATGTAGATATTCGTATAAAAAAGGAGGCATTCATTAAGCAAATAAATAAATGAATAAACAAAATACTCGAAACTAGGGACTGGCAGCCACAGACCTTACAGGTTATCACATTCAAATCCCCATTCTCCAAGCAGGAACTTCTCTCTGCTGTCCCTGGCAGATGAGCTACAAAGCTTGTCTCACACCTCTCCGTTGAAGGGGAAGGAGCACACCACCTGGGGGAGGGACCTAACGCATCTGAGAATGGCTTTCTTGAGGGGAGTGGAAAGCTGCCTTCCCGGAGCTGCTAGGTCTCCACCCTAGTTTAATGCACTGGAGACCTGCTTCCGCTTCAGGAGCACGACAGCTGTGTAGCTACTTGGAGCAGGCTTTCTTGTCCCTTGCCAATCTCCCTTCTCCAATGCGTTCCACGGTGACTAACTTCCACTACCGACAACATGACATTTTCCAGCCTCTCTCCATCCTGGGCTCTAGCTTCTGGATATACTCCAGTCTGTCAATCCATGGTACCCCACATAAGTCCAATATGCTACCACATGCAGGGCTGTACTACCCACACTCATTGCTGCTTATTCTGGCTATTGTAAACAAAAGTTACATTTAAAGTTTAGTTATGACTTTATTCAAAGCAGAAGAGAAACTTGTCAATGGGAAAGGGGAACCACAGCTTTTTGGCAAATACAGACATAAATAAAGAGAACATGGATTGCTACAGAAATGTGTTTTAAATTGTTCAAAACATTTTCACAGCAGTCCAGAAATCCCCACAAGGCAAGCAGACCATTTCGAGGTCAAGAAACTGAGGCTCAGGGATGTGGCAAGGTCAAGGCTGGGGCCAAATTCAAACAACTATCTTCTAGCCCTCAGTTCTTTTGATTATAAAAGAGGGAGGGACTCAAAAAAAAAAAAAGAGGGAGGGACTCATTTTAGGCTTTGTAATTAATGTACACAATTCCACATAACAGACCATAAATTCATTATCTTGCCTGCCAATCCTGATTTTAATAATCCTGCTATTATAAAAGATGATTGTCCAAATCTGTGATTATGTACACAAATTTGCAGATTGAAGAGCAACAGAGTAGTAAATCCAACTGCACTGATTTGACCTCGAACCTTACACTGGTGCTGACATTTGAAGGTTGGATACAACTAGCATTCTGAAAGGCATGTTTCTAAACTAAAACAAAACAAAACAAAACAAAAAAACCTCCATTGGAGAAACCTAGCTTGTGGTGGGGATGTGTTGGTATGGTAGCCAGGAAAGTCATCTTCCCAAGATGGTTAGCATCCCCTCCCAGGTGATAAGGAATACAGCTCTTAAAAATACTGCCTTCTCTTAGTAGATAAGCTGCCTATTTGGCCCAAACTTTCTCTCAAACCCAAACTGTCTTCACATTTTTCACATTAAGAGGAGAACAGAGATTTTGTCTTTCTTAACCTCCCACCTCCCTGTTTGTTAGGGTCCACATCTGAAAATGCAGTATGACAGAAAGAGTGATAATAATAGGATGTTTTCTACAAAGTAAACTTGAACACAAGAGTGGAAATTCAGGGCTTTACAGTGGTGGTCCAGACAAATATGCAGAGCAAGACTCCCAGAGGTACCTCATCACTGATGCCAGCAGCCACACTGGAGGGTGAGCTGGCCTCCTGCTCAGCCTGGTCCGCCTGGTCCTCCTGCTCCACTCGGTCCAGCTGTTTGTCCTCCTCCACCTGGTCCAGCTGCCACTCCTGCTCCAGCTCCTCCATCTGCTCCACCTCTTCCTCTTCATCTACTTGTCCCACCTCATCCACCTCATCCATCTGCTCCATCTGGTCTACCTCTTCCAGCTCGTCCACCACTTGTACCTCATCTACATCAGAAACCTGTTCCACCACCGGCTGGAATTCAAAGCTTTGCGAAGATGATGCAACTGAAGAAGAAAGCCCAGTGGAACGCGTGACCAAGAAAGCAGAAGTACCAACATTATCAACAAGATTTACAGATTTCTCTTTATTGCCTTTATAAGTCATAAAAACAGGAGAGTCCAGCGTTGTTCCATGTTAAGGATTAGATGTGCCAGGTACCAAAAGTAATTCAGAACATTCCTTAAAAATGTGTTCATATTTGAAAATAAAGAAAAAGGGAGTGTCTCACTTTACCTCCACCCACCCAAGTGTAAATGGGTAAGTACCCAAACCATTCGTGTTGAGTGTTTTTCATCATAAAATTCTTCTGGCCATGCTTCTGGAAATTTGGTACCTTCCAACTGATAATACCAAATCAAGCATAATCATAAATCACTTCCCAAAATGTACGTTCCCCAGAATGTGGGGATCTCTGGAGTGCTCTGGAAGTGCTGGTGGAGGTGTGGAGAAATGACTCTCCTTCAAAAAAGCAAGCTGGACAACATTATTTGAAGAATACAAAAGGGCAGAGTTATTTTGGAAAATAGTTTGGCAGTTTCTTTCACACACGCTTCCCATATGACCCAGTTGTCCAGCTCCCAGGAATTTAACCAAGTCAATTAAATGTTTGTATCCACACCAAAAAACCTCTATGCAAATGGTTATAGTAGCTTTATATATAGTCACTGAAAAACATGGAAACAACCCAGGTGTCCTTCTGCAGATGAGTGGATTTTTAAACAAATAACTGTGGTACATGCACAAGGTACAGTATTACTGAGCAAGGAAAGAGGAATGAACCACTGATTCATGCAACATGGATGACTCTTGAACACATTTCATTAACAAAGCCAGACCAAAAAAGGTGAGAGACTGCATGATTCTGTTATTTACATGACATTCTGGAAAAAGGAAACCAGAGACCAAATACAGACCAACGGTTGCCAGAGAATGAGGGACGGAGCTGGAGTTCAAAGACAACACAAAGGAATCTGGGGATGGCAGAACTGTTCTGTCTGGTACTGTGGTGGCAGATACAGGACTCCTTGCCTTTGTCAAGCCCACAGAACCATACATCCCAAGGAGTGAACTTTACTGTGTGCAAATTCAAAACTAAATTTTTTCTTACACGTTTCAGAAATCACAATCATGGGTTCATGGACTCCCCCCCCAATCAATTGTTTTGAAAAGATTTTTTTAAACAAAATTTGAGATTGGCAGCCATAATGTAAGAGTTGTTAGCTAGCTATTAAAAAATAGAGGTATTAGTTAGTTAGCTATCAGTTTAGTTAGATATTAGGTTAGTTATTAGTTAGCTATTAGGTTAGCTAGCTATTTAAAAATTAGTTCTATATATGAAGATTCCACAATGCAAAGACTCCATACTAGGGTCAGCAAATTAGAGGACAGGATCTGCATTAAGCATCCGGCACCACATCAAGTTTTGTATTTTTATACAATTATATTTATGAAATGTCTTTAATAGTGAAACTTACATAATAAGTATCACTGTTTCTAAGAGTCTATCCTTTTTGTCCTATACTAAAAATTCTTCTTATAGTATGTTTTAAAAAAAAAAAAAACAAGAGGTTTCCCTCTCCCCCCGGGGGGGGGGGGAGTCATTTTGGTCTTGCCCATTTTACATTCTTACAGTGATATCAAGGAGACCAAAAGTACTAAGAAGGCATATCACATTTGGAAAATGATTGACTCTACCTTCCTAAATATCAACAAGACAAATAACTATTCCTTCTTTTTCTCTAAAAAATAAAGTTCTGGGGCACCTGGGTGGCTCAGTGGGTTAAGCCTCTTCCTTCGGCTCAGGTCGTGATCCTAGGGTCCTGGGATCGAGCCCCGCATCAGACTCCCTGCTCAGCAAGGAGCCTGCTTCCCCCCACGCTGCCTGCCTCTCTGCCTACTTGTGATCTCTCTCAGTCAAATAAATAAATAAAAATCTTTAAAAATATATAAAAATTAAAAAAAAAACAAGGGGTTTCTTTGGACTGTAACCACTGCAGCATAGCAGTGAAGATTAAATAAGGACAAAGAGATGAGATGCTACTCCTCTAAGGGCTGAGCGCTAGCACCAATCTTTAGAAGATTAAATGTTAATGGGACAGAATAATACCATTCCCAAGCACTTGAACCATTGATGAGATATTCACTTTCATCACTCTCAAATCATCATCTCAAAAAAACTTACAGAAGATGAAATTAGTTCAGTCTTGTGATTTTTGCATCATTATGAACAGAACATTTTCATCCTCTGAAAAAAACAAGAACTACCCTATGGGCCACAGTTTTTCTTCTGATAATCCCTATCCACACATCCAAATGTACCTACCTGGTGATGCCAGTATGCTTTCCAGGGACGATGTGCTGGAATCATAAGATGTATCAGATTCTATCCTAATTACATGATCAGACTCTTGGGGGCCATACTGCTCAACTGTTCCAATACCAACTTGATCCTGGGAATTTCCAAATGAGGAGAAAATGACATTTCAATTTGGAGACAGATACATAAACAACAGGAAACACAGGCAGAACACAAACCATCATGAAACATGTCCTTGAAAAATATTGCTGGAAGGGAATAAGCAGTGATTATAGGTGCCACATGCTATACTCTGACAAAACTGAGAAAATAAACACAGTACAGATGCGCTAAAAGCACAAGCCTAAGAAAACTGTGTGTCACCAAAGGCTGTGGCAGAAGAAGAGAAAAGGAAAAAAAAAAAGGAAAAGAAAAGAAAAGAAGAAGAGAAAAGAAAAAAAAAAACAAAAACCACCTTTCCCAGGTGTTGGTAGGATGCTAACCTGGCCATGGGCGAAGGGCACTGCCACCAGAGGGCCTGCCAGATGGAGGCTGCTGGACAGCTGCTTCACGTCTTCAATGGAGGTTGAAGTCAGAAGTATTATTTTTTTTAGATTTTTATTTGTTTATTTCACAGACAGATAACAAGTAGGCAGAGAGAGAGAGAGAGAGAGGAGGAGGCAGGCTCCCTGCTGAGTAGAGAGCCCGATGCGGGACTCGATCTCCAGGACCCTGGGATCATGACCTGAGCCGAAGGCAGAGGCTTTAACCACTGAGCCATCCAGGCGCCCCAGAAGTCAGAAGTATTATTACCAAAAACCATCTTTACTATAGCTGCACAGAGATGGAAATGGCCCTGGAGAGCTTCTAGTGCAACCTCCCCCTTTGATAGTGTCAAAGAGGACAACGTCACACAGCAGGGCAGCAGCAGAGAGACAGAGAGAGTCCAAGGACTTCAAACCCAGTGCTCTCTTCCCTAACCCTGGTGCCTCAATTGAAGCCATTTGCTGCTTTAAATTGTACACATCATATTCTGAGTTTAGTGATCCCCTTCCACTTCCTTAACAACTAGATCCTTTTTGAACAGTCTGCAGCTCACTGCTCATATGAAATACAAGTACCTGGTTTAGCACAGGAATCTTTTACATTTCTGCTGAAAATTTTAGTGCCTCGGCTGTGTTTTGTTTTATTTTGTTTTTTTTTCCAGCCTGGATTAAGACATAGACTCATGCCAATTTTTCTACAAGGAACCTGTTTGTTGGAACATACTGGCCCAGATCAAATCCCAGCATTTGAACTTCAGGACACTGCGCAACCTCCCCATTCAAGCTCACTATGTTTTGTACTCCTTAAAAGAAGTGATATGTTGCTGGGGATATAACAATCTTTTCATTTTTGAGACAGAAATTCTGGTGAGATGGTATTCAATAAGATTCAATAAGATGGGATATGACCTTTTTTCCCAGTCTTTTCCCTTCTGCTTTTTATCATAGTCCTATATCAATTTAGTCTTTAGTTCCTTGCTTCTTGGATGTTTCAATAGAAATGTGTATACTCAGGTATTGATTAAGATGTCCATTTTTTGTGTGTTCATATTGTTTTATTTAGCCTATCAACATAAATTAACTAAGCTTAAGTAAACTTAAAATGACAAAATCATGTGTACCAGTGGTAATTGGCCTGGGGTGGGGAGAGGGGGGGAACAAAGCAAAGAAACTATTTCAGGAAAAAAAAAAAAGATACCAGTGAAGGGGAGCAGATTTGCCACCTAGAAACTTGCTGTGGCAACTGCAGGACTCGTCTAATTGTTTCCCATGTCTTAGGAGTCCCTGTCCTTTGTTGCCTAATGACTGACCATTTTCGTGAAAACTATTATTTCATACATTTTTGTCACGGGGGCAGGAAAGTTAAATCTGGTCCTTAGTCATGCCATCTTGATTAGAAGCAGAAGTTTCTCAATTCCGTGAAATATCAGACAGTTACTGGAATGATTAAAATTGCCAGACTGAGACTGAATGGGAATAAGCAAAAATAAATAGCAATTGTGCCATAGTGGTGGGATTATGAGTTTCTTTAAAAAAATTCCATTACATGTTATAATTACTTAGGTTTTATAAGTTTATGAAGTGAGAATTTTTAAGGCCAACTTTCCCCAAGACACATTAAATAGAAGGATTCTGGGTGTTCACACATTACACACTGCAGATCCTAGGTGAGTATTTGTGGACTGATGAAGTCAGGCTGTCAGCAGCATAGACACTGGAATGATACCCAGAGTTCTATGGATGTCTTGGCCTCTTTTCCTAGAATAACAGCAATTAGTTTGTGTGTAAACAGAGCACTACTCTGTTTAAATTAGCTTTTTTCTACCTAATTTCAGCCATTTCATTCTTTCTTGAACAGAATGTTAGCAGATGTGCTGTCCTCAGAAAGTTTCATCTACATACAAGTAGCTTATTACCCTTTAAGTTTCTTCTGACTGGTCTAAGAATTAAATTAACATTAGACAGATTAATAGGAGAAAATCAAACATGGATACCTCCTGTATCATGGGAGAGATCCAGGAAAACTGACTCCCCAAGGTGGCCAAAGCCATCACCTTAAATACCATCTCCAGCTAAAGAAAAAAGAAGATGTTGAGACTGGAGAAGTCATTTATGGGAGGTGACCAGGAGACGCAGAATAATAAGGGTAAGATTGTTATGCAGATCTAAATCATTATCTTCTCCACTGAGGAGTTCCCAGATACCAAGAGCAAGACACACCCCCAACAAAGGGAGATTTTCCTTATAAATGTAAATGTCTCTTACAAAAGGTTAACTTCTACTCAGTCTTTGGAGCGTCTCCCGTGTTTGCACTTTCTTAAAAATATGCAGCTTAAAATAATCTTTATCCCAGAGACATATTTTGGGGTGGCAAATTCTGGTCCCCTACAATGAGCAATAGTTGGAAAATGCAATATAAAATCAGCACTTTGTATTTAAAAACATAGGTGTGTTTCCTATGTTAGAGAAGAGCTTAAACAGTAAAAATACCTGCTGTCTGCACAGTCCCAGAAACACACAAAGCTTTTCAGACAAAACCACATGCAGGCCTGAAAACCAAAGTGAAAATCCACCCACCCAGCCTATCTATACTGCTCTTGGGATCCCTTTACGTTACATTTGGAGCGTGCTATAAAAATGACACAGTGCTGTGACATACAATACTCATCGGTGCATCTAATATGTATGAGCGCCTACTATGTGTGGCAAACCTTGTTCAAGATATTTCAGGATAGGCTGATGAACAGGACAGCCCCTGTTCTCACAGAATCTTCGTTCTATTGCAGGAATACAGAACATACACTGATAAATGAGGTTACATCCAGATGAGAGAGCCTGGCACATGACCACTCCCCTTTTCCTGACAGGAAACAGAGGCTCTCCACTGGCAAATGACTTTCCTCAGGTCACACTGGTAAATGACCAAATTAGGAATTGACCCTTATATTTTGAAGTCTGAGGCCATCTTTCTCTCTGAAGCACCACCACCACAGCAGCTGTGTAACAGGCACCCAGGGCTTGGCAGGTAAGGTGGAGCACCATCCCTGGGGACAGTTTTCTGGGAGGCTTTTTCTGTTCTGTGCCTTTTTTTCTTGCAGTTTGATCCTTTCTCCCAGACTAGAATTTCAGATCACTGAACGCAGATCCAGGTTTCATATTTCTATTAATATGCATCCCTCTAAGATTTTCTCTAGTGACATCCAGTAAATAGATAAATGGATGAAACATTCAGTGGCTTAGGAAAATGATGGGTGGCAATCTAGACCATTTGGGGCCTGGGTTCTGACCATGAAGGGATAATGCCTGCTCATGAGTCTACCCCACATGTGGCTACTGCAGCAGGCACGTCAGTAAACTTCTTCCTTTTTGAAATGTATTCACAGGTCAAAAAGACCTTGAAAAATGGCATAGAGCTTAGCTTAATTTAAAAAAAAATACTACAGGGACCATACCAAGTGTTGGGGGCCAAGAACAGGTGTCCCCAAGGTGGGCCACTTTGGCATGAAGTTTATTTTGAGTTAAAAAAGCAATCAAAACTCAGCAGACTCAGGAAAAACTCTACCTGCCAGACAACTGCCTAAAATAATTTAGGTAGAGGCCCTGCTCCATGAAGAAAGTTATCACCATGCACCATTATACCGTGAACTAGGAATGGTGGACAGGGAGGAACCTAGCAGTGCCTGTCTGATCAAAGTCCTCTCTGTGTGCCATTGTTTCTGAGGGGCCCATCAAACCATTTGTTTACCAGACATTTAGTCTTTGTCATTCTTCCTGAGCACTGCAATCCTTCCCTTTGAAATCCCAGACCCCCTACCCCCTTTTCCTTAGTTTAGAATGACATATATACCTCATGCTGCATGACTTCTTTGAAATGTCCATGCCTGTGTAGGTTCCCTCCATGTACACTATTAAATTTGATTCTCTCCCGTTAACGTAGCTCTATTTTCAACTTTTTGAGGAACCTTCACACTGTTTTCCAAAGTGGCTGCACCAACTTGCATTCCCACCAATGGTGTTAGAGGATTGTCTCACGTCTATTTGATCCTTAGTCTGGTTAGAGGGGCTTGAAGGGGACAGGATATTCTTGCTCCCCAATGCGAGCACTGTAGTTGCTGGTTCCCAATAAGAAATGGCTACGAAGGGGCACCTGGGTGGCTTGGTGGGTTAAGCGTCTGTCTTCAGCTCAAGTCATGATCCCAGGATCCTGGAATCGAGGCCCATGTCAGGCTCCCTGCTCAGTGGGTGAGAAACCTGCTTCTCCCTTTCCCACTTCCCTTGCTTGTGTTCCCTCCCCTCCCTGTCTCTCTGCCTGTCAAATCAATAAAATCTTTAAAAAAAAAAAAAGAAATGGCTACAAAATGGCAGCTGTGGAATCCCACTCAAGTGCTATGCCCACATGGGATACTTCTCAAAATGAAAACTTTTTTCTATTGGGAACACACAGTAACTAAGGAGTCAATACTACAGGGAGAAGGATCCATCCATTTACCCTATGACTCTCTTATGCTCTTACGAACATACCTCTGAGGCAGCAGCAGCAGCAGCAGATTCAGCACAAAGCAATTCCATTCTAGAACTTCTCTTTTGGCCCTGGCTTCTGTAAAGAGATGAACAGAGAAATGGTAAGCACATCTCACTTGCCATTTAAATCTAAATTTTCTATTGTACGGTAAAAATAAGGTTCAAATAAGAACAAAAATCTGAGGGATGCCTGGGTAGCCCAGTTGGTTAAGAGTCTGCTCAAATCATGATCCAGGGTCGTGGGATTGAGCGCCACATTGTCGGGCTCTGCTTCTCCCTCTACTCCCAGATTACACTCTCTGTTGCCATCTCTCTCTCTCCCAAATAAATAAATAAAATCTTAAAAAAAAAGAACAAATATTTATTTTTCTTAATACATCATATCAATCTTTGAGGTGCTACTATTCCTACAGGGAAAGTTGTTCTGCAGCATATCTATAAAATAAATCATCTGGACCCTCATTAGAATGAAGTTTGCTACAGGTCTCAATGCCTTTGGTTAACAAGGCTGAGCAAAGCAAGCTTAAAAAAAAAAAAAGGCAAGGCGTATGAGTGAATCTTCTTAATCTTTAAACCAACTGCAATTACCAAAAAATGCCTTCAGGCCAAATTTAATTTTGTCTCCTGTAATTAGAGAAACTCTCTATTCTTTGGCTCATTAACAATTCATTTCTATCAAAATTAGAATTTCGATGCCCAAGGTGAAAATGCAGCTTCCTGGCACTGGAGTCTAAGTACTAGTTTATTTTTCACCAAATGAGTGGAAGGTAAGAGAGAACTGGGGGAAAGTTGGGGAGAGTGAGAGAATATGAATGAATGAGAATCTTGGTTTTAATACTGAATCTAATTTTTAAGACTTAAAAATTTCCCAAAGATCTGTTATGGAAATGTATTTTGTTTCCAAGAGTCACTCACGCAGTCACTCAAGACTAAAACCGCAAAGTCATCTTTGACTCTTCACTCTTTCTCTACTCACTTCTGTATGAGTTTATTACTAACTTCCTGTCCAACTTATCTACTTGGTGAATTTCTTGAAGGCAGTGCACATGCGCTAAACCTCTTGTATCCCCAGCACCTAGCACAATGGAGCACATACTAGGTGTTCCATGAATATTTGCTAACTGAATAAAGGAATAAACAATCTGACCAGCCAGCTCAATGGAAATATTTGCACATTCTTCCCTCACCCCAGGTCAGCTTGGCTTGACACAATTATTTTCAAGAACAAACTGAGGCTTCTATCTGTTCCTTAAAAGCACTTAAATGTCACTATATTGGCTTCTAAACAGCAAATATCTTTATACCTGAGATAACAGCATGTGAATGAATGTATTACTGCACTGTCCAATACAGCAGCCATTCACCGCATGTGGCTAAATTAAAACCAAAATTAAAGAAAATTTAAAATTTATTTCTTCTGTCATGACACCCACATTTCAAGTGTGCAGTAGCTACATGCATCTCCCAGCTATGGTATTAGAGCATATTAAAGAGCATTACTGTTGGGACACCTGGTTGGCTCAGTTGGTTAATCACCTGCCTTCATCTCAGGTCATGATCCCAGGGTCTTGGGATCGAGCCCCACATCAAGCCCTGCATTGGACTCCTGGATCAGCCAAGAGCCCTTCTCCCTCTCCTTCTGCTCCTTCCACTTGCTCATACTCTCTCACACACTTCCTCTCTCTCAAATAAATAACGTATCTTAAAAAAAAAATAAAGAGCATCATTGTCACCACAAAAGGTTCTATGGACAGTGCTGTATCAAAGGATGCAGTGAGTTTTACTGGACAAGACACTGACTTTGACAATAAAACACCATGAGGTAATGATCTTTTGCTTTAAATCTACTGCTTAGATATCAAGAATGTAATTGTTTTCCAGATTCTTCCATGAATTTATATTTCATGCTTCTTTATACATCACTATAGATGGCATATTTGTGACTTGTAATCAGAGTATAAAATTAACAAACAAGCACATACATTGCAAAAAAAAAAGTATTAAAGAGAATTTCATACCTAACTAGTCTGTACATGTAAATGATGAATTCAGGCTCAGGACAGGAGATGTAATGGAGGGTTTGCAACCATAAAACACTGCTGCCCTTTGGTTAGGAGCAGACAGAAACAGAACTTTCCTTTACTAAATCTCATCAGTTAATTTTCAAAAAGAAAGGAAATGACCAAAGAACACTTTGCTAGCTATATTTACATGGAAATAACACCTTCTAATTTTACAAAGAAAAGTACCTGTCTCATTATGTAAAACCTCAAAATGTTACTCTTAAATTGAGCCCTTAATGTTTCTTACTCTCTCTATTTTACATCTTTCCTGAGGTTTGATATTCACTGGTAAAGCACTCAAAGCTGCTGAATTACTTTAATGAAAGTTTATTCTTGGCTCAAAAAACACCATATACTTCTACTTGCTCTGTAGATGAAACTGTAAATATGAAAAAGATGTTCAATGAATACTGCCTTTTCATACATCAATACAGTATAAACGAAGGTGTTGTTTTAACAGTTGTGGCAGTAAATACAATCTTAAATGTCTCTCCATGTTTAATTTAACAGCTGAGATGATCTTCTCTGAAGTGATGGCAGAAAGGAAAGCCAGGTTTCCCTTCTTGGTCACAGGTTGTGACCAAAGTTTAAGAAACTAATTTTCGGGGCACCTGGGTGGCTCAGCGGGTTAAGCCTCTGCCTTCAGCTCAGGTCATATCTCAGGGTTCTGGGATCGAGCCCCACATCGGGCTCTCTGCTCGGCAGAGAGCCTGTTTCCCCCTCTCTCTCTGCCTGCCTCTCTGCCTGCTTGTGATCTCTCTGTCAAATAAATAAATAAAATCTTTAAAAAAAAAAGAAACTAATTTTCAAGATTACTCTAACCAAAGTTAGGCGATAGGCTTACAGGAGAAACCCACTACAAACTCCCTCTGTGAAATGGGAAATCTTAGGTCAAGGTGCAAGCATCCACTTTTCCTCCAGGCCCAACTGCATTTCAGCCATCTTTGACAAGTGGATTAGTACTAGTATCATCTCCAGAGCCTACCTCTCCCCAAGTAACTACTCTCTTAAGTGGTCCCCTAGTGATAATGCCTGAAACAGCCTCCTATTTTTCCTTTTACCCCAATTTCACCATTGTGTCCAGCATTCCAGAGCTGCTAAAAGAAGGTGGGCAGAATTTGAGGTCACACAGACTTGGGCTCAAACATCAGCCCTGATACTACCTAGCTGTGAGCCTTAGAGCAAGTCCTTTAGCTTCCCTGAGCTCCAGCTTATGAATGTTTAAAGTGAAGTTCATAATATGTACCTTGTAACATGCTTGTAAAGATGAAATAATGTTTGGACAAAGTGCTTTGTAATCTGTGTAGTCCAACTTGATCACCTCAAATGCCCTCATTAGTCATTCTCCCTTTGATTGCTCCATTCCTCTAAGTTCTTCTCCACTTAAATATATGATTTGGAACTATAATTTGCTCTAAAATGGTTCTTTGTGATTTTAATTCTCTCTCCTAGAAAATGTGTTCTATACATTTTCTGCATATGCTACCATCGTTCTATTCCTTTAGAACCAACAAGCGGACTCTCCAGTGTTAAGATAAGCAGACTGGGGATCAAGAAGTGCTATTACTGTAGATCACCTAGACGGTTACTCCTTTGGGCAAGGGTTGGGGGAGGAAGAGGGGTATTGTGTAGCTACATGGCTGTGTGTACAACACACATTTGTAAAGAGCCCCTGGATCAATGTACAAAGTAACTACCCTGCTTTTTAAATGTTCCTTCTCTTTCACTATAACACCTTTTAGTAAATAAATTACTGTAGAATGTCATCTTAATAGACTTACATTATTTGAAGATGGAATTAGTTTATTTGGGGGAAACTTACTGAAAGGCAGATAGGCAAAGGGGATAATTTTGATCAGTTCAAGAAATCAGTAATTTGGAGTGAGTACCCCATCACCACCCTCAGTTCTATGACAACTGCTAACTAACCTTATTGCATACCCATCACCAATCTCACCTCTGACTGGCAGGGGAGACACTATTTTTTACTGAGTTCCTACTATGTAGTAGGTATCTTATACATAGTGCCACTTTGGATCCTAAAATAACTCAATGACATATGTGCTATTATCATCCCCACTTTATAGATGACGAAGATAAGACTCCACAAGGTGAATAATATATAAGGTCATAATAAATGACAAAGTCTGAATAGAAACCCAGTCTGCCAACTCCTTATACCAGTGAGGGCAATAGTTACATCATCACCGTTAGAGTGGAAAGGAGCAATTTGCCATCCTGAAATATGCCTCATTGTCACAAGGATTATCTTGAGCTCATTATTCTTTTTTTCTTTTTTTAAGAATGTGAACAGCACCAGCTGCATTGCAGCCTTGATTTAATTTTGAGTAGGGAAAAGAAGAGAGATAAACTGGTAAGAGGTGCATAAAGGAAATGAAAACAAAACACCCCACATGTAGTGCCTACACACACACACACAGACCTGTCCTGGATTACACCAGTGGAGCTCTGAGCTCCAATATGCAAGGAATTCCAAGTTCTCAGGCTCTAGAAAAATCTGGGGGCCAACAACCCTCATTACACTGCTTCTACCAGCTCAGAAGAGAACATCATGAAATAAACCTGACTGCTTCTACCAGATGCAACAGAGGCAAAGAAGACCTTTTCCTTGCATTCACATAAGAATTTTAGTCTTTGAGCCCTTTTGTGCATAAACACACCATCCAACTGACCAGTTGCCACAGAATGGAGCTCTGTGGCCTTTTCTCCCCAGCCCAACATCTGACTGGATTGAATACATACCACAGACGTCAGCATCTCTCCCCACTTTAGAACCACATCCTTGGAGATTCTTCCATTAAGCATTCATGTAAACCCTTTCTTCTTCTTCTTTTTAAAATTTTATTTATTTATTTGACAGAGATCACAAGTAGGTAGAGAGGCAGGCAGAGAGAGAGACATCTGTGTTGAGGAGGAGGATGATTGCATGGGGTTTGATACTACACTGGATCATAGAGTGCGGGTTCCTTCTTATGTGTGTTGGTAGATAAAT